GTTCATTTTGAACGAATCACTCGCGACACATCACTACAGTTGTGTGTTAGTTCCTGTTAGCGCTGCTCAGTCAGCTGTCACAGTCTGAAAGGAGAAGAACACGGAAATAATAGCCACAGGACAGAGGAGAGATAGCACACAAGCAAAATGTCCAGTTTTTCCAACAAGTTTGACGGCTACACGATGACGCAGCTCAACGAAATCCTGGAAGACGACAATAAACTGACGAAAATGGTAAACAAAATGGACGAGGTACGTGGAGCTTTGTCGGCTTTTGTGTTTTTGTCCACTGTTACCTATTGACTATTTTCTCCCCGCGAACTATTTGTTCTCAGCCCTTTGTTGCCCTCTTTCAAACGTACCTTAAAGAAATGTTACAAAATCTATTTCTTCGTGCTATTAGTACCTTTTGCAGTACATGCGAACATAACCAATGTCAAATGTCTCTGAAGCTTTAGAAATCATTAACCTTGGAACGCAGCGTTTGGAAGCATTGTCTTAAGTTTTTTAACATGGTGGTTTCTCAGTTTGAGTGATTTCCTATCAATTTAATTGTTCTTTGATAGATATCAGAGGCTCAACAGTGTATGATAAATACTTTAGGAACAATATAATGACAGTACTAAACCAAAGTCCCGATCAGGAAATAAGATGTTTTAAAGTATTGACCTTGCTTACACGTTGGTCAGACTCTGCAGCAAACGTCACTGAACAAACGCCAGTCTAAAGCTCAGTTTCTTTTTAAGCGCAAATTGATATAGAACAACAAAACACGCTCAATTGATTGTACAAAAGAACACCTGATGGACTGTTCGTCTTTATTTGAACTAATTATTTTTCTCTGGCCACCTACTGGTTAAATATATCACCACAATTACTTCTGGTGCCCTCTATCAGGCTGCATGAATATAACACAAAACAGTTCCAACACCTTAACTCAGGTGCTGTCCATTTTTGGTTGGTTCTACACCTTCATTGGAGTCCAGCTGTGTTTGATTATACTGATTGGACTTGATTAGGAAAGCCATACACCTGTCTATATAAGACCTTACAGCTCACAGTGCATGTCAGAGCAAATGACAATCATCAGGTGAATGGTGAACTGCCTGAAGAGCTCAGAGACAGAATTGTGGCAAGGCACAGATCTGGACAAGGTTTAAAAAAAAAAAAAAAAAATTCTGCTGCACTTAAGGTTCCTAAGAGCACAGTGGCCTCCATAATCCTTAAATGGAAGACGTTTGGGAGGACCAGAACCAGTCTTAGAGCTGGCAGTCTGGCCAAACTGAGAAATCGGGGGAGAACAGCCTTGGTGAGAGAGGTAAAGAAGAACCCAAAGATCACTTTGGCTGAGCTCTAGAGATGCAGTCGGGAGATGGGAGAAAGTTGTAGAAAGTCAACCATCACTGCAGCCCTCCACCAGTCGGGGAAGCCTCATGTGCAAGTGCAAGACATATGAAAGACCGCATGGAGTTTGCTAAAGAACACTTGAAGGACTCCAAGATGGTGAGAAATAAGATTCTTTAGTCTGATGAGACCAAGGTAGAACTTTTTGGCCTTAATTCTAAGCGGTATGTGTGGAGAAA